GTATCCAAAAGCTTGGAAAGAGATAAATGGAACAAATATAAAGAGACAGCGCAGGATTCCAACGGCAAAAACCTGCATTGCCAGCTGAGATAAAAAATCAATGAGTTAAAAAAATAATCTCATCAGGCATACCAATCCTAGTTAAGAAGATGCTGACAACTAGTGATTACACGTAACCGAACAAGGTGCTCTATATGTTTCTTATCTGCTGTCCCACGGGTCCAAGCTAGAGATATGACCCCAAATGCACTCACAATACATAACAATGGAAAGAATCTATTGCCGACACTCGTGGACATTTTCCACAAGTTTGATTTTATGAACATGCCATTACATGAATCTAACATAACATCCAAAAGTAACTCAACCTATGACATGATCGACACACAATATAGAAGTTTGGTCTTGTAGGAGTGAAAGGTGGCGGGCGGGCAGCTTATATGTCAGCCCTTGGAATCTACCTTACGAATATCATTATGCAACCTCTTGGAATCATCCTAGAACTTGAATTTTAGAATCTGTATTCTGCAGGTTCTAGAAGCCTTGTATCTTTTCTGTTTCAAATCAAAGTGCTTTGAACCTACCAATTATCAACATACAAGATAGAAGTTACAAAGCCGAGAATTACGTCATTGGTCAACAACATAGAGTCGTGACACATCAAAACACTTTCGAGTTTAACCATAAAAACAAACAGGACAATAAGGTAGATACCAATCAAGTTTCCAATTATTGGGCCTGACCCTTTTACATGTATTAGCTAACTGTCATGCTCTTTGGCTCAACGAGCCCTGAAGAATGCTCGTATGTCTGAAAGAAATGGTTCTCTAATGCCACGTATATCATAACCGCATTTCGAGGAGCTGCACACACGAAACTCCACAAGAAATTATTCTTTCCTGCAACCTACCATATACTCGCAATTTTCAATATTTTGAACTCAAAACCCACCCCGTAATCTTTACTACCCACCTTTTTACCAATCCAATCATTCCAATTCCATAGTTTTCCTTGTACACCCCTATAGTAAATATACCTTGAGGTCTTCAAGTTAAGAAGACTCACAGAAGTGCGCTTTTTGTGAATCAAAGCTTCATAAGCCCTGAGCAGCGTATGAAAACAGATATAGCCAGCATTAAGCATTCCATTCGATCTTGCCAAACCTGAAACAGCAAGCCACAGAACGGCTATACTCTGTGCACCAGAGAACCAGTGATATACCCCTCCAATTGAGAAAAGAGCATACAGACTTTCTGCATAACTGCCAATGACATGGGTAAGTATTACACTCTGTCCATTGGAGAATACATTTAGAAGCAAAGAGTTTAGAATATTACATGGATGTGTAAAATATTGAAGCCGGGTTGAAGCAGAACAAGATAGAAGCCCTAAGAGATGCCTTTGTGTCCTTCAAGATAATCAATGAAAGCCTGTCGAAAACACTGCATTCTCTCAAAACTGCTCATTAACTCCCACGATCTCCAGGTAATATAATCTTAAAAACTAAATCATTTGGACATTTAAGTCCAATGCATACAAATTATATTGTTTTTATCCCAAAGAATTAGAAGTAGGAAATGCATTGGACAAGCACATCTGTGAGAGAGGAAATCTTCTCATGAAATACAATCTCGGCACAAACACTGGGTATTGGAATCACTCCATAAAAACATTTTGTTGAACTTAAAATAATCAGCTAGAACACTTGGTAAATAAGCATCTCTTGCCCTTCAGAATCATAACATCCAAGAGTAGGATAAGCACAATAATGTTTGAAGCATGTCATAAATCCCCTGTCATGTGAGACGGAGAGAGAGTGACGAGATTATATGACCTGTAGAAATACACCGCAGCAAACACAAAGGCAATGTTGCTGATGAGGTAGCCTGAAAGTCCCAAGACTGCTCTGTATCCAATCACGGGAACCAACGGCAGAAGAACTGGTATGGACTGATAAGATCACATGAATAACGCACAAATGCACGATCATGAATCGGAGGAACTACAATAACAAAGCCAAACCTGTTCGAGATGAAACGGAGATGAGGAAGGGGAGCAGAGGGAAAAAAGCATAGGTCTGCTCATACTCATAGCCGCACTCAGCGATCCGAACGTAGTACACACTATCCCAAACGATGTTGCTCTCGATCCCCGAGCCGAGGCTCGGCCATAGCACTGGCTTTTCAGCAGAAGATGAGGATGAGGTACTCGAGAGGCAACTAGGGTTTAAGGTCGCGGAGGTGTCATAAGGATCAAGAAGAGATCGCCAGAGGACAACGAGTGCAACGAGGAGGAATCTCGACGCTAATGCGGATTTCAGGACTAGAGACTCATAGCTGTTCAAAGAAGGAGGCATCGGATTTGATGAAGTGAATTAGAGCCTGAATAAGCTAAAACCCAAAATTTTCAGGACTGCCATAGACTCGGCCACGACATGGATATCAACTATATGTAGAGCTCCTCAGCTATCCAACCTGTAAGCATTATTGACTGAAATGAGCGTGCAAATTCATTCACGGTTCAATCTCGGGTCAGCCACTCAACAGATCAAAAAGAAAATGAAGAAAAGTAAACAAGAAGCCGCACATCATCAAAAATTTTCTACTTGTGCACCAGGGGATTGGATCAAGACCTCAATTTGACTTCACACATCAAATTTGAACAAAATTACTCGCGCGCGGCGCGTCACGTCGGGGATCGCAAAACATATCACACAAAGGGCCATACTGGCCTGCTCGACGGCCGACCCGTCAACCGACCCGAATTTTTCAAAGGCATATATATATATAAGAGTTCAATCAACAGTCCACCAATTTCTAGAGAGGGCGCTGCACGGAACGAACAGAAAACCAAACGCACTGAAACAACTACTCACTGGGGCATTTCAACAAGCACCTCTAATGCACAGAACAGAGCAGAGGACCAGAACGAGCGCCTGTAAATCTAGAAGCTGGAGGGAGCTACAAATCTGCGCGGAGAGACGACGGCAACTCCCAAAACAAAAGGGACAAAGGGACAAAAGTTTTCATGGGCAATGCGAATCCAGAGGATGTTTCATCAGACGGAATCGAAAGACCGAGCGAAGTGCAGCACCACCCGATGACTCTGGTACTTCACGCCACACCGTCCTTCCCTTTCAAATACTAAAAAGAACAAACCAATTAATAACGCAGAAAGTCGTCATAAAAAAAGAGGCTCGCGTCTCGCAAAATTGAATCTCTTAAAAAAAATTTGATTTTTTTCTTTTGTGGGAACAAAATTAGATTTTCCTTCAAAGAAAAAGCAATTGCCTATTCATTTCCATATAGTCAAAGCTAATGGATGAATTCGGAGTATTTTCGTGATTTCGGAAGTACTTTTTAGATCATTGCCGAATAGAAAATATTAAGCATAATTACACGTCACTAAAATGTATAATTATATTATGTCTTATATGCACGTAGCTTCCTATCGATAAATGATTTAAGCTTTTTAGGTTGAACATTTTGATAAAAAAAAAGATTTTTGAGATTTCTTCCCGTATGAATATTGAAATTCTATTTTCGCTGATATAAAGCACAGGAAAATGGTTTACGGAGTAGGGGTTGAGTAATCTCGCATATTCGAGACAAAGTTCATAGAGCCCCGGTACGGAGGCTCCTGCCCCAATCTTGCTCATCAAAATGAAAATTGTCCAAAACGAAACCCGTAAAAAACACCGCGGCATGTCTACTGTCTAGTCGGGCCAATCCAAGCCCTTTCTAAAAAGGGTGTTTCGGGTCCTACCCGACCCGACTATGCAGCGGATCTCTCGGGCCATCGGGTCAACCCGGCCCTTAATTAGCTTTGAATTAAATTTTCGTTTTGACCGACTCGTATCGATAATTTAATAATTATGAGATCATACCTTCTACGCCAATGCCACGTGGACGATGAAAATAGGACCCACGTGGATAGCATCCGTAGAGATTAATTTATCATGCAGTATTATACGCTTTTTTGATGACGATGCCCCAATCAATCGCGCCTTCCTCGTACCGTAAGGATTAGAAAAAAAGGGTTAATACCATCAAAAACTCTAAACTTGTATACTTATGACAAATTTACTCCAAACTAATTTTTTGACCTCCAAAAATTCAAAACCGGTACACTTGTGACAAATTTGCCCTAAACTCCCCAAATTGGTATATTTGTGATAAATTTATCCTCCGTTAAATTGAATTAATATAAAAATAAACCACAAACTAATACAACTATGACGAACGAAGAGTAAAACCCTAAACTAGTACACCCGTCAACTATTACGTGTCATTTAACTCGGTAATTTGACAGTAAAATTGAAGAGGTAAAATTTTTACAAATATACCAGTTCGGGATTTTTAGTGATAAAAAAATAAGTTTGGGATAAATTTGTAACAGATGTATTAATTCGAGATTTTTCGTTGTAATAATTCTAGAGCATTCCTTCGATTTTCAAATTCAGAGTTTTGGATATTGATCTAACCTCTTTGAACGGATGGGGTTTCCCGTTTTTAATTAACAACAGGGTAGACTTCGAATTTAAAAATCACGATAATCACCAGGATGGGGCTCAAATTTATCCGATCGATTAATTTCTTTTCGCTTCCTCCCCTTCCTAATTTGCTCTCCACTCCATCCTCGCGGCCAAAAAAAAGAAAAAAAAAATTGCACCGAATAAAATAAACCCACTTCGAAAAAGAAATAAAAAAAAAAAAAAAAAACCCCAAAATTGATTTTTTCGAGTTTTTTTTTCCTCTTTATTTACTTTTTTTTTTTAGGGAGGGGTGGGTCCGAAAGTATTTCGAGTTTGAGTACCCGACGACGACTTCCTATTCGCGCTTTAAGAAAGAAGCTTCCATATATTTCACTCCCGGTGCTCGATCGGATTTCCCCCCTCCCCCAAAGCCTTTTCCTCCTCGAATTCGAACTCCTTTCCTCGCAATTCCATGCCCTAGGGTTTTGCACGAATTCGAGTTCCGGGGGCGGGGGGGGCCTTCTCGCGATCCGTGTCGCTTCGTTTGCCGCCATGGAAGCCGAAAGATCGAAGCTTTACGTGGGGGGCATCGCGAGGGAGACGACCGAGGACGCGCTGCGGGAGCACTTCGGCAGGTACGGCGGCGTGTCGCGGGCGGTGGTCCCGCGGGAGCGGGACGCCGCGAGGGCCCCCAGAGGGTTCGCCTTCGTCTGGTTCGCCGACCCGGCTTCGGCGAGGGCCGCGCTCCGGGACGAGGAGCACGTCATTCTCGGGAAGAAGGTCGGTGGCGGTTCTTTTCCCTCTTTTCGTTTTCTTCGGGGTTTTGGGTTTTGGGTTTTCTCCGTGAATTGTCGTTAGTGTGTTGTGGGGAAGTCCGAGAGCGTCGCGCTTGGTTTTGGTTGCTGTTGAGCGGGAGGGGAACGTGAAAAAGAATGGATTTTGGGATTTTTGGTGCGTTCAATTTAGGTTGTTGCTTGGATTCTGAGTTGTGGGTTCGAGAAATTTAGGAAATTTCATGTGTTTGTGTCTTTGGTGGCTGCAATTTTGTTACCTCCTTATGTAGGTGCTGGTGAGGGAGGCGAACAAAACCGAGCGCCACCCGAACCCAAATCAACAAGAAGTCCGCCTTGGCCAAAACCGTTGTTGTAGGATGTGCGGGAACAGCTTCAATGGCAATGGCAATGGCAATGGGGCTAACACGCGCTTCAGGAGTCGAAAGATATTCGTCGGGGGTTTACCGACTAGCTTGACCGAGGATGAATTCAAGAGCTTTTTCGAGAGGTTCGGCGAGACCACGGATGTGGTGATAATGGTCGACCTCTACCGGAGGCCTAGGGGTTTTGGTTTTGTCACCTTTGCGTTGGAGGAATCGGTCGAGGAGGTGATGAAGAACAACTTTTATGAGCTTCATGGTAGGTCAGTGGAGGTCAAGAGGGCTATTCCAAAGGAAGCTCGCAACTCTTGCGACGGTAGTTGTGAAGTGAATGGTCAAATGGGGAGAGGACAGGATTGTCTTGATTACTGGCCAGTTTATTATCCCGCATATCCATCTCCGTATGAGTCATTTCGTGGGTATAGCTATGTTTCGAGTTATCACGAATTCGGATGGGTTCCATATGGAGCCAGTGCATACTCTGTTTCTCGTGCAGTTCATTTTAATGGTTCTGGACCCACCTACGTGGATGATATGTTTGGATATAATGGAATGCCGATTCCTGCGTACGATGGGTTCATGCCGGATGGATTTCATTCTATGATGAGTCGAGATGGATATGTTGAGAATGCGTACCGTGCACCAGCACAGCTGCGGATCGAGGAGTTGCAGCAGCTCACCGATTGCATTGAGGGTGAGGCAGACACACCAGCACTGCCGGAGATCAAAGAATTGAAGCTCACCGATTGTATTGAGGGCGAGGCAGACACACCAGCACTGCCGGAGATCAAGGAATTGAAACTCACCGATTGCATCGAGGGCGAGGCAGACACACCAGCACTTCCGGAGATCAAGGAATTGAAGCTCAGGGATGGTTCAGAATCAGACGGCGGAAGCAGTGGTGTGACCAACCAAGACGATGATCACTAACACTCAGATCTTGTGAAAATATTTCTGTACATTCCCCACTCCCTGGACTTCCTCTGACAAATTGGATTATCATTGATTGTTGATCACTTCATTAATTGAACACATTGCATAAGTATTTTCTTGTTTCTTTTTCAGAACCTTGAGCAATCACTTCCTCCTTAACTGGCCTGGCTTTCCATCTATGTTCATGGTTTCTTCTTAATATAAGCTTTTAATAGTTTTTGCTACTGTGGTTGTTACTGTTTCGTTTCATACTTTGCTTGTTGTTGATGAATCATTGGTTCAGAAAATTTTGTTTGCTTATTGAAACAGCTGTCATTAGATTTATAGTGATTTTCATTTCTCAATAGAACAACACTTATAACCCGAAGGCAGGTAGATTTGCTGGAGTCCTTATGGTTTTTCTGTCGCCCTGAAGGCATTATTCGTGGTTTCATGACGTCATTTCATAGTGAAAGCAAGGACAGGGCATCAAAGACGCACTCCGATTGTCGTCATTTAGGTCCTTTGTCTTGGACGATTTACTTGTTGTATGCTATACTACTAGGCAACATCATCTTACGACTGAGTTTCAAGCTAGGCAATCTAGCCGGTATTTGCCATAAACCAAACTAATTTTGTAAGATCTTTTACATCTTGCACAGATAGAAAGATTGTACTACAGACCCTTTCAAAGTTTTTATGTGTCCTCTCATTGGAACCACGATTTCAGCTTTTAGATTGTTGACGCTCACGCCTGAAGCTGAACTTTGGGTAGGTTGCTTCGATTTCCACCTCATTGAACTGGGTGGTTATCGATTCACTCGAGTTACCAAAGCTTAATGATTGGCCATATCGGATGAATTGAATGAGCAATGACTTGCTGGCAGCGAGAACGGTAAATGAGGGTGTCGTGAAAGGTCTTGTGAATCTGATTTTTGGGAAAATATATATGTAAATTCGGGTGATGTGAGCCATATGATTAATTAGGTGAACTACGTGTTAAACTAGACTCTCGCTGTTTTCAGCGCACTGGCTGCACGTGCATCCGGTACAAGCGATATGGGCTCGCGATTCGGGCTATGGCCGGGGGCACCGGGCTCTAATGGTAACACTTAGAATGTGATGGTAACATAGTGTTTTAACATAAATAGTACTTCAGCTTACATTTTTCATCCTTTTTACTTGATTGACCCCAGGGGCTTGATCTTTGAATAATGAAGGGCGCTTGTTGAACTAAATCCAAGTCATGGATGGGCTTTCCACGTGAAGAGAAAGGAAAGCCCAGTTTCCTCTGATAACGTTTGAACAAAATGGGAGAGTGTCTCAGTTCGATTTGGCTGAAAGTCTTCCCAAAACTCTGTTGATATTTGGAAGACATAAGGTTTAAATGGATTGTCATGATGGAATTTATGCGTGAATGACAAATCATGACTGCGGAAGAGATGAATTTCTATTTGGTTAATGTGATATGTAAACTTAGTGTCAATTGGAAGTTATCAAGTCTAGTACTTGTTGCGCGATGATTAGGTTATCTCTCATTTACAATTACATAAAATTGGTAATTTCTTCAGCGTTCTTCTTTGCATATGTATTGAAGGAAAGAAAAGGCTCGTGGAATGTGTAGAAAGAAAACGTTAAGAATGGTCGTTACTTAAGTGTATATGTGTGTGTATTAATTTAGAAATCGACCTAAACATGGCATATCATATTATGCAGAAGTCCCATGCGCCTAACCAAAAGAATGATGTACATGATCCATATGTGGCTGTCGGAACCAAAATCATCTGCTTGCCTTGGTTAGGAAAGCCATACGAGGCTAATTATATCATCGAACTCGAGAGCTTAGACCGAAAGACACTCGGTCTTTTTTCATATTCGAAGGTCACATGATGATCTTTTACCTAATCAAAGCTTTGGGAACCAAACTGCTTGATTACAAACGACTGTCTATTTTTGGACAATGTTGTCTGGCTCACAGACAAGGCAAAATCTCCATTACCATAACCTAGCAATCTTAAAAGCTACAGGCCCAAGTGGTCACACCCAGCAGAGGACCAAGGCAAAGAGAGAGGGTCAAGCAGTACGGGCAAAGTTCTGTTTTCTTGGGTGGGCAAAAAAGATGACTGGTTACACATCACGTGGAAGTGTTGTTTTAAATGGGAGGGAGGGGTGAGAGAGGGATGTGGATGGGCATGGCCGCATGGGAGGGGGCTGGCTTTCCTTTTCAGAATATTCCATACCAAAGTCAAAATGCATGTTTGCTCACAAAAGAAGAAGAACCCACTAGTCCTAAAAAAAGCAACCTGTCTAAAATACTCTCTTTCGCCTGTATAAAGGCACGAGGGTACGAGGGATTTTATGAGAGATTGTGACATGTAACTCCAAACATTTAAGACAAAGTGTAGTCCAATGTGTCGATTGAATGGTGACAAATTAGTAAGTATGTGAGATGGGTAATCGATTGAATTTGATCAATGGAGAACCCCCCACCTACCTCTTTCATTGTCTTATGTCTTAGGGTTTTGGAATCCTTTATATGTGAATGTACAATTCTACAGTAATATTTTCCTAAAGACACATGCAAATTGCCCCATTCATTTGAAAAGGATAAAGCTCCACCAAGAGGGTAGTAAGCACGGGAGTTTCTAAGATACAATAGTGTACCATATATTGTTATCGTTTAACGATTGAAATGTATTGATCAGTCGACCTTTTTATCGATCAATGTCATCCAATGGCTGGTAATTGATGATCAAGAGGAGTGGAGCCTAAGATTCCTTTAGATAACCTGCCGTATCAGAATCAAGCTTCTGATAATTTTGCCAATCCCTTGACTGTACGATATATTTACCAATTTCCTTTTACTTTCTTTTTTTTTTCCTTTTTGTGGTAGGGGGTTTACACTCCATCGAACCCTGTTCTATTCACTATGAAAGGAAGTGTAGACAGTAGGGCATAGAGTCTTAGGATATGGCTTGTTTTGTTGATGGGTCAAGACATTTGGACGATACATTTATCCTTAAGCTGTGTGTGTTCAGATCCTTGGCCTCTCTACTCAAATTGTAACAAGAAAAGGGGAAGCTATGTGTATGGGCGCAGCTACTTACTTCTTTTTTTTTTTCTAGAAGCAGCTACTTACTTCTTATTCCCCATGAAAGCGAGTCATCAAGTTGTCCCATCTTCTATTTAAGCAGAGAAAACTACAGGCTATGCATTTATAGAGTTTGATCGGAGAGAGAGAGAGAGAGAGAGAGGATCTAAGGTGATGGTGACATGGCAAAAATGGTCGTGGATTTAGACATGTCAATGGGCTCAATTGCAGGTGAGAAGAGAGACAGAGAGAGAAAAACAGTGACAAATGGAGGTAGGGGGATGGTGACAGGGGAGGAAGCTAAAGTTTTCAAAGATGGGTTGAAAGTTGGAGCTTCAAAGTGTTGCATGCAAGCTAAAGCACAGTGTTGTTAATGCAGGGGGACAGTTCAGGCTTAGATCTCTCTCTGTGGCCTTTTCAGCAGAGTGACAGAGAGAATGGACGAGTAACAGATAAAGAAACAAAACGGGTATGTTCAAAGCAGAAAAATCGAAGTATGGTCTCAAATCATCGACGACGGATAAAATCACGGCATACGCATCGGACGTGGGTTTCGCGAGCTTCGTTCGAGGGACTACCCCCCTTAATAGATTTCATGGAATTTGTGAAGAATATGGGGTTCAAATGCAGATGCAAGAGAGAAAGAATCAAATTGAAGGATTTGCATGGTGATGTTAGGGAGGGAGGGGGAAGATAAGGACTGGTCTGAAACCGAAGTAACGTTTGTCCTTCTCAAATCAGTTTCATCTCATCATCCAACCCTTTATTGCTTTCTGCTGGCCCCTCATCCTCCTCACACACACTACAACACTTTGGGCCAGTTGATTGGGTCGGTTCGAGGAGTGGTAAATCCATCTTTAGATTTTGTCTGGATTCTGTTCATGTTCCTCACGTGAATCTCATAACTCCCTCTCTCTTGTTAATTACCCTTCTCTCTCTCTCTCTCTCTCTCTCTCTCCCTAGGAGGAAAAGTTTCTGGCTCGCTAACAAGACAGTGAATGCAGTCTTTCCAACTTTAGATGTTGGAGGGTTTTTTGCATGGTAAGAGGCAGAGTTGCATGAAAAATAATGGAATCCGCTACAATTTTTTTATATCGTTATATCATGTGGATCGTTTTGTGAGATAAGTCTACATTATCTTTAAAGGCACGGTGGTTTGTCTTGCCCGTCTTCGTCTTCGTCTCCGTGTGATTCTATCCCTTGCTAAAATGACCTCGATGGGCTCGTTTGCTTGACTTAAGAACGATGATGTTCGGACTATGGATCTTTATTTTTTGGGGGGCTTGGAATGTCGAAAGGTGAATAATAAATAAGGAGGAGGAAAATAAAGTTCATTTTGATTTGGTATAGTTTTTTAAATCCCATAAGGGCGTCTAAATGGGTTGGAATTCCATTCTAAAGTTGCTGTCTATCCAATAATGTCACTGATTTTGTTGTATACAGAGTTTGTACAATGTATAAAACAAGCAATTTCCTCGTTTTTGGATATTTAGATCATTTAAGAATATGAGTCAATAGAAATTCTTTTCGTCATTAATGAAAAATATATACTTAAATTTAGGAAAATGATTTCATTTTATAAAAAATCAAAAGGTTCCGGCACTCGAGCTTGAAACATTGGCACTCTGCCTGGACCCCAGGGATTAGGCCCAAGACCCTGACATCCGAACTTAGGACTTGAGATTTTTTTTTTTAGGAAAATGAAATCATTTTTCTTGAAAATAAGTTTCTTTCGAAATAATTTCCAATAAAGTTCGTTTTTCGTGAAACAAACGGAATAAAGAAATCAATTTCAAACCCCAGCAAAGGACTAACCAAAAAACTGACTGTACCTGACATTGGTTGATCGATATAAGTCAATGACCTGAACCCAATCAAATCCGAATCTAATACAACCCACACCGGACAAAAACACAACAATTGACCAATTTGATATCTACAACGGTTCCAACCCAAAACTGGCCCAAACCAAGTGAACGAAACCCCAAAAATCCAACCTTATCATAATATAACAAGTTGTCATGTTCGACACCAACCCATCTTAAACCCAAACTTTGAAGAAACTAAACTCGAATCGTCCAAAATTTAAGCAGACCTGTGATCGGGAACTGTCCTGACCGAACCCAATCCAACATCATCCGATGCAAGTCAAACCATAAATGGTGATGTGAAAACTGATTGATTCGAATTCACACCCAAGAAGGGAAAACTAATGAGGCGGATTGGTATCAATCCAATCCGAAAATCAACCCGATATGTCAATTTATCACATTTAATATTAGAAAATTATTCAAAAAGTCCTAAATCTATTTGACGGAAGTCAATTCAGTCATAAACCTTTCAATTATGTCAATTTAATCCTAAACATATTGATGATTTGCCAACTTAGTCCTAAACTTTTAGTCACAACCCTTTCGATGATTTGCCAATATAATCCTAAACATTATAACTATTTGTCAATTTAATCATAGGTTTAGAACTAAATTGACATATAAAGTTAGTTTCAGTTTATGGTATCTAGATTACTTAAGTTTGAAAAAGGGCTCGAAATTTATGAGCTTCAACTCCATTATACTTTTTAGAGTTTGTTTTCTTTGAATTAAATTTTAATATTAGGATAATGACACAAACAGTCACTGAACTTTGGCTTAACATTCAATTTGATCCTTGAACTTTTAATTTGTTTAATGTAGTCCATAAACTTTAGCCTGATGTTCAATATGGTCCCTGAACTTTCAATTTGTTCAATATGATTCCTGAACTTTTGGTAAATGTTCAATTTAGCCCCTGAAATATATGAAAATATTCAATGTACTCCTTGAACTTGAATTAATGGAATGACTATATTGAACATTTTCATATAGTTCATGGACTGAATTGAACATGTACAAAAAATAACATTAAATAAATTTTACGTTACATATTGAGTTAAAGTTCAAGGACCTCGAACAATTTAAAAGTTAATAGATCAAAATTTATGGACTGTTTACGTCATTTTCCCTTTAATATTAGTTGGAAAGAGGATCCTTTGAACACTATAATATAATATGTCAAAAAGCTTCACGGTTCCTAGCAATTGGAAAAAAAAATCACCACTTTGACCGCATCAAGACTTTTCTTTTTGATCTGTCATAATTTTAGGAAGTAATCATCTAGATTGGTTTAACTAAACCAAATCGTAGCACGTGACAATACAGTCGAAAGATCTCCATCTAATCCCATTAACAACTCTTTCTTTCTCGAATACCAACATGAGTAGCATTTGAATTTTATTTTTTATATTCAAAGTAGCTCTCGAATTTCTTTTATTCAATATAATTCATAAATCATTTTAAATCGGCTGGACGTGGTCCTTCTGCCAATTGAAGTTCCACGTCACGTGTTTTCCGACGACATGGCATGCTAGCTCGGCAAAAATCACGCATCATTAATGAAGTGGAGTGTCCAGCTTAATTAGATTTGATTAAAAAACAAACGTT